AGGGCTGCAGAGCAGGCCCAGGCTGGAGAAGCAGGATGGTGGACACGTCACACAGGCACCACTGAGTAGACAGGAGGAGGTCTCCTGGGCAGCAGGCCAGGCCTACGGCACTCAAGAGGGCTGCTGGTACTGGTGCCAGCGCCCTGGAGACTGCCAGGCAGGCTGGGCCTGGGCCTGGTTCCCAGCCTGGGGCCTCCCCTGCCCACCCTGCAGATCCCTGGCTATGGCCTGGAAGGGGAGATGTCGGTCGTGGAGCTGCGTGAGCGGCTGGCCCTGCTCAAGGAGACCCAGAGGTGCAAGGAGGAGGAGAGGCGAGACCAGATCATCCAGGGCAAGCGCGCCAAGAGCCGGGCGCTGCAGAACACGGTGGAGCAGATCTCGCTGTGCCGCGCAGCCATGGGGAGGTCTGCAGCCTTAAGGTTAGTGCCCATGGCCCGGGGCGGACGCCTTGGGTGGGCAAGGAGCAGGGAGCCTGCTTTTGCACCCTCCTGGGTGGCTTCTCCTCGCAGCAACCCACCACCCTCCCGCCCAGGCAGTTCCCTTGCAATCACTTGCCCCCAACTATTTTCTTTAAAAAAAAAAAAAAAAATTATTTATTTGTTTATTTACTTCTGGCTGTGTTGGGTCTTTGTCACTGCACGGGGGCTTTCTCTAGTTGCCGCAAACGGGGGCTACTCTTCACTGTGGTGCGGGAGCTTCTCTTGTTGCGGAGCACGGGCTCTAGGCGCGCGGGCTTCAGTAGTTGTGGCTCGCGGGCTCAGTCGTTGTGGCTCACAGGCTCTAGAGTATAGGCTCAGTAGTTGTGGCGCACAGGCTTAGTTGCTCCGTGGCATGTGGGATCTTCCGGGACCGGGGCTCGAACCCGTGTGCCCTGCATTGGCAGGCAGATTCTTAACCACTGTGCCACCAGGGAAGTGCCTTTTTTTCCCTTTTAAACCAGGACTTAGTTGGGGTTCACACATCAAATTTGGTTGTCAAACATCTCTCCTCTCTTTTAACGGAAAGCACGTGGACACACGCACCCCTCTTTGTTAGGAACACTGTGGTGACTTTTCCGGCCCCTTGTGGCCAAGTGTGGAAGAGATCTGCAAAGATAGAATATTAGCCGCGGCTATCTCTAGGCAAGAGTGGCAAGGGGAGGGCAAGATGAAAGGGCGTTCGCATTTTATCCCCAATACCAAGATAGTTAATACCTATGGAATACTTTTTAAACTGTGAAATACAAGGAGCAAAAAGGAAGAGGCGCTGGGGGGAACCCCGCCCCGAGCGGTCCTCGTGGGGCGTCTCCACCTGCACCTAAATCCCTTGAGTCAACCCGCGGTGGGGTTCTCCTAAGCCAGCCCCGCCGCCCGCCCAGGTGGGAGGAGAAGAAGGCGCAGTCGGCGGCCGCGGGAGCGCCCTCCCGGGACGAGCGGGTGCTGGAGCTGCAGCGCAGGCTCCGGGAGAAGGCGGCCGAGCGCCGCGGGCAGGAGGCACTGCTGCACGTGTCGGCGCCGCGGGCAGCTCGCCCCAAGCAGCAGGTGAGCCCCGGGGGCGGGCGCGAGGGTGCGCAGCGCAGGCGTTGGAGGTAGCGGGGGTCCGGGCGCGGTGTGGGGGTACGGGGAAGCTGCGGTGGGGGACGGTCCCGCCCCGCGTCGACCTCCACCGCCCGCCCGCAGGCGCAGCTGGAGGCGCAGCGCAGGCTGGAGCTGGAGCTGGAGCAGAGCCGGGAGCGCAGGCTGCGGGCGCTGCAGCGGGGAGGCTCGGCACGCGGGCCCGCTCGCTGCCTGGGGGCCGTCTGAGCTGGGCGGGGGCCCGCCCCGGGACCCCGAGACCCCCGCCTGAATAAAGCCTGGGCGGCGGTGTGCACCTCCCCTTCCTTGGCCGCGCCCCCCGCCCCACTCCGCCCCAGTCTCCTCCCGCCCAGAGCAGGGTTGCCAAATAAAATGCCAGTTATTGCGTGGGACAAGCTAATGCTAACAGAAGGATCCGCTGGAATTCAAGTTTATTTGGGCGTCGTGTATCTTATGTGCTAAACATGGCCACCCTAGCCCAGATTCTAGCCCTTCCTACGGCCTTGTGCTAGGCATTCCTGCCCATGCCCCCCCATCGGAGTTCCCAGAGCCTGCTCTACTTGTGGAAAGCTGGAATCCCCATTCTCTGCCCGGAGTCGGGTGGCTTAATCCGGGAACCCCCAAGACTGAGAATGTGATTGTTCTTGTGCGATTAGTAGAAGTCGCCAGGATCTTGAGCCGCTGGGAACTGGCCCTTCTCGGCCTTATCTCCCAAACCTCACGGCGATGGGGGGGAGCTGGCCGGGGATGTAGGATCTGCCTCCCACTCCCCGTCTGCTGATGAGGCCACGGGTGCTGAGAGGTGAAGTGACCTGCTGGGAGAGCTGGACCCAAAGCTAAGCCTGGATGCCTTTAGAGCACTGCCCAGCCTTCTCCAGCATCACTGAAGGAACAAGGTTAGAGCCACTGGGCAGGAGCTGGCCCAGGGCCTGGACAGGAATGGAGTGATTCCCCTGGGTCCTCAGACCCATCACTGGACTGGAGGTGCGTGGCTGTGAGGACAGCCTGGCTGAGTGAAAGCCTGCTGGGGAATAAAGCACAGTATGCTGCAGCTCTCAGGAGAGAGAATGAGCAAGCCCATGGGTGCAAGGCAGTAAGAGAGGGGCTGGAAACTGCCAGGCGGATAGATGTCTCGGAGAGACCCTCCACACCCTACATCCTCCTTGGGTCTGCAGAGGGGGGAGGCTGCACCCCAGGGCACATTCAGACTAAGAGGGTGGACATCTCAAAGGGACGAGAACAGACTAAAGACCAGCGTTCTCCCCCAATACTCTGAACTGTGTCAGAACCCCAGGACTTCCCCACAACTGAGGTTGGTAGAAAGAGGAATTTCCCACCCCCGTCAAATTAGAGCTGGGAGCAGATTAAATTTCATTAAAAAAAATAAATATGGCATTTCTTACGTCCTGTGTTGTTATTCAAACCCATTTCATTTGATATCGAGGGAATACGTTGATGATGACCTGTCCCAAGAGAGGCTCTCAGGAGCTCTGAGGGCTTCAAAAGGGGAATTATTAGCTTCTATAACTGGCAATCCAAAATAGGGTAGACTTCAGGACATGCCTGATCCAGGAGCTCTGTCTCCAAGCTGGTAGCAGTTCCAACCTCACATGTCTGGAGGAAGAAGGACCATCTCTCCCTGGTAGTTCTCATAGGAGGGAAACCTCTCTGTCCTCCAAGCCTTGTGCTCCAGTCTCACTGGCCTGGATTGAACATGCTCTGCTGAACCAGTTCCTGTAGTGGGAGAAGGTCTGCATGGGGGCTCTTGCAGCACATGGGGGCCGAAGCAAGCACTGTGGCAGAGGAAGAGAATTACCCTTCACCTATCAGACTGGCCTCTGGAGCAGAGGGGAGAGGTGGCGGCCCAACAGACTCAGGGTGCTATTAGGAGTAATGCTGGTTGGCAATCCACAGGGTCCCCACCTGCCCTCCTGGACTGGGCAGCTGCTCAGAGCTGCCTTGAGAGCACCTGGGGCTTCGGCTCCATACAAACCCCCGTAGGGTCAGGTCTTGGGCCATCCCCCGAGTTTATGGGCTGAGGGCCAGCCTTGTGTGGTAAACTGATGGCAACAATGTCTCCCGGTATCCATGCTCCTTGCCTTGTGACCCCTGCCAAGGCAAGGAACAGAGTAGGAAATAGGCAGAGTCTATTTCGCCCAGTCCTTGAATCTGGGCTGACTTGCTTTGGCCAATAAGGTTCAACAGGGCTGGCTGTGCACCAGTTTAGAGCCTGGACCTAGGTGGCCTTGGAGGTCCCTCTTGTTCTCTACCTGGCCGCAGTGTGGGCATGTCCAGGGTGGCCTTGCTGGGATGACCTGGTTATTCTCAGAACAAGAGAGACAAGCTGGGCTCTCTTTTCTGGTTGCCAAATTCATGTCCAAGTCCAGTTCTGGGAGCTGAACTCAAGGAACCTACCACCAGATTCTCTAATCCCAATTCTGATATGCAGCCCCACCCAGGGCTGGCATGCACCTGTGTTCACAGTGTTGAGTCCTCCCGACTCCCACCTTCCCCGAGATAAGTACTGCTATCATCTCCATGCTACAGGCCAGGGAAACGTGAGACTTGCCTGAACCATGGAGCTGGGATTCAATCTCAGGCAGGAGGGATCCAGGGCCCACACTCTCTTCTTGATTCTGGGAGTTGCACCAGATGCCCCAGAGACCTCCAGGCTTTTGCCTGGGCCATGGCCCCTTTCCCAGGACGGGGCTGGACCGGACCTGGGTGAGAAGAGTACTCCACGGGTTCAGTCCTTCCCTTCCCGACACCTATTGTCTTCGGGATAATCCAAACTCTTAGCCTGGCATGTGGGCCCTCCAAGGTCTGACTCGTGCCTTCCCCGACCCCAACCTCTCCCAACCTCTGAACCCGTGGCGCACTGGGCAGCCTCCAGTTTTCTGGACATGCTAGCCCACCTTTCCCCATCCAGGCTCCCTCTTCCTGGAACTCTCTCCTCCATTCTAGTCCTTTCAGTTCGCAGGTCGTTTCCTCCGGGGAGCCCTCCCAGACGTCCTGGTTGAGTGCCTCCTCCGGGATCCCGAAGATGGGCCGGGCTGTACTTCCCTCGCGTCTCCACCAACAGCCTGGCAGAGCCCGGGATCGCAGGGACCAGGCGCAGGCCCAGGGCCTGGCACGTCGTGGGGCGCGGGCGCCCGGAGGACCTGCAGATCCAGGCCGATAGTAGAGACCCCAGGAAACTGGCTGGGAGAGGCGCGTCGGGCTCCGCGCCGCGAGCCGGGCAGCCGGAGCCCAGACCACGACTCCCGGGAGGCCTTGCGGGCCGAGGGGCGCCTACCGCTCTCTCGCGGGAAGGCAAAAGCTTGAGCTCACGAGCGTGGGCGGAGCCGGAAGGAGGCCCATTTCAAAGTGGTAATAGATGGTTTCTTATCCAATAAGATTGAAAATATACCTCCTCAACCGGCCGACCACGGGAGTAGGGACAGCGGTGGCCAATAGGGACGCGCGGAGGGCGGAGCCGAGGTCTCCGGAGCGGAAGTGGGTCTCTGTTGAGGCGGCGGTGTCTTGTTGAGGGCTTCTCAGCGGCTTCCAAAGGTCCTTCCTCGCTTGGGTGCGTCGACCGCCGCGCCTGCCGAGCCTCATCAGCGCCAGGCAGGGCCAGACTTTGCGGGGAGTGGGCGGCAAGGCAGGGCCGGGCGGATTCGGGGTTCGGGCGGCTTCGCGGCCTGCGGAGGCCTCGGCGCCGCGGCCCAAGGAGCCGCCGTGGCGCGGCCGACCACGCTCGGGCCCCGACCTCCGACCGGGCCTCCCCGGGCCCGCGGGCCTGTTCGCCTGCCCGCCCGCCCCGCTCTCCGCGCAAGCCTAGCTCGGCGCGGGGACGGAAGTGGGGAGGCCCCGCCGCGGGTGCCGGCCGCCCTGGCAGGCCACGGCGCCTCGTCTTAGCGTCGCCGGGGAAACTGAGGCTGGGCGGGGAGGGACGCGCCCAAGGTCACTCGGAGGGCCGGGCGGGACGCGGGGCGCGGGCCTGCGCCGGCGTTCGGGAACACCGGGCGACGGTTTGGTCCCCACCGAGACCGCCGCCTTTGTGTGCTCGCGCAGCCGCTCCGCCATCGCGGGCCTGCGAGTCGCCTCGGGCGGCCGGGCGGAGTCTCCTCCGGGCTAGGACGGGGCTGGGGCACCCGCCGGGGGCAGATCTCAGCAGGTCCTCAGCTTCCGGGCGTTGGCCGGGCGCGTGGCCGCCGAGGCCTGCGGCCGAGACCCCCGCGGGCGCCTGGAGACAGGTGCCTGAAGCACAGAACTCAGTGGACGCCACTTAACACCCTTTGACCCGTCGAGGGAGAAGGGGAGAGTTCAGATCCTTGGTAGGGGTTTTTGTGAGGTTTTGGCTTTTGTGTAACTCCAGTCCCGTCCCATCGACGGTCACGGCCATACCTTCCTTGTGCTTCTGCGCCACGTTCTCGGAGCCAGACCTGGGGGTCTCAGCTCTGCGGTCCTGCATTCGCTGAGGCTGCCTGAGTGGCCGGGGAGACCGAGGTGGTCTCCCCAAGGTCACAGCCTCGGTTCCCTGACTGCGGAGCTAGGTAGCCCTTTGAATTCAGTGACCAGGAATTTGCTAATGAGAGGCAGAAACGTTGAAGGGAATCGTTTTGCTGTCTTTCTGGTGGTTTGTTTTTTGATGGATGGGGGGACACATTGGGTAGTTTTGTGTATGAGTTTGAGGTGAAATGGGAATATTCAAGTAGAAAGATGTGTAGCTGGCTTCTGTATTGCGTGAACTTGAGTTTCCAACTTTGACTCACATCTTGCTGTAATCCAGTATTTATAAACCTTTTTACAACGACGACTCCGCGCTCCCCGCCCCCCGCACACCCGAGCTTTTTTACACGTTGTTTTCTTGATTGCCCACTCCAGGAAATTTTAATGCTGCTTTCACACTGTATGCCCTTTTTATTTGCTATATGCATGTTTATGCTTTGTACGTAAAAAGAGGGGGCTTTTTTTCGCCCCCTTTGAGAATGCGTACGTTAATTTTTTAAGTCATCGTATTTTGAGGTCTTCTGCATGTCAAGCTTTCTGCTTGCACAAAAATAGGCATGGTACAGGCCCAGGAGCCAGAGTGGAGAGAGTGAGAGACATTCCCTGAGGTTGAAATATAAATGGTAGAAAGGTGGGACTGGAGAGGTAAGCAGGAACTAGATCACAAAAGGTCTCCGGTATTCCTCCACAATAAGGAGTTCAGAAATTATCTTAAGGCCAGGTGGGAAATCACTAAATTGAGTTCTAAGCGGGGAAATTAACAGGGTTAGGTTTGCGTTTTAGAAAAATCACTGTGCTATGAGAAGGATGGTTAGAAAGGTGGACAAAACTAGTGGCTTCAGGACCAGTTAGGAAGAGAGAAAAGGATAGCCTGGACCAGGGTAGTGACTAGTCACTGAACTTGGTAATGGCGATTGCCAGTCATGGCAGTTCTTCACTGGCTGTTTACTTAAAAGCTCTTAGCAAGGTCCATGTCCGGTAGTTTATACCCCTGCCAATTTTTGGAAACGTTTTGGGGTGCTACTCAATGAAAATATGTGCACAAGGTAATTGGTTTGTATGCTGTATAAAAATGGCTTTGTATGTTCTTGTGTATATGTTATCCGTGTCTCATTTTGGAATGATTTACGTGCATCTCTCACCGTCCCCAAATCAGCCATTTTTGAGGGATGAGGTGGCTCCCGTAGCATATTACAGGGCTGACTCTGTTATGAGCTATAATTCACGTATGCGCTCTTCTAACTTATCCTTCTAAGTAGCTTGTTTCCCAGCAGGACTTTGGGAATTTTAGAGCCAGGCATTTCGAGGTTTCCTCTCTGAGGAGGAAGGCCCAGAGCACAGATACCGACTTACTCTGAGGTCACAGTTCCAGTGTGAGAAAAACATCTGAGGTTAAGTTGGAGGGTGCCACTATAGGGTTATGGAATCTACTTTGGAAGCATTTTTTTTCCCCCGGCATAAATAAGAATTGGCAGGTTTATTGAATACCACATCATGCAGAGTAGGAGAGGCCCGGAAACATTTCAAAATGAGTATTATCAGTGGCCTGCCGGTGCAAAAGAGAAATTGTGACCATCATGCCTTCCTGGTGTATCCTGTAGGGTACATTAACTGTAGAATGTACCTCCAGATAGCTGAGTAAATTAGCTTGCTATATATTTAGATTTACCGGGCATACACAAATTTAAAATGAAAGAATGCCTGCTAAATGGCATTATTATCTGCTAATGCCTTTTTGTTTTGGAATCATAATTTCTGGTTTTAGGAATGCAACTCAGTTGTCTGTAAGGGTTACTCTAGGTTTGTGATACCACGTCTACTGTTTAGTAGTCTCTACCACTTACAAATCCACCCTGCCAGGTAGTTGTGGTTAGTTCCATTTTGTGTGTCCTGAAGCACAGGAAGGGCAGAGTCACTTGCCCAGGGTCACACAGTTAGTAAGAAGAGACCTAGCATCTGGACCTCACGTTCTGTTGCCTTTGTTCCTTTTGCTGGACTTTGTTATGTCATTCACATTTTTCTGTGGTGGGAAAGCACAGGGCTGGTGTTTCTAGTAGCTTTAAATAGTGAAAATAAAACTTAAAAGTGGGGGATATTGTCTTTATTTTTATGTTTCTTTTTCAAGTAACGTTTACCCAGGAAGGGTCTGATTATAAATATTCTCAAGAAGCTGAATTTTCAGTGACTGCCTTGTATTCCTGAGGACTCTAGTTATTTTTCGTGAGTCCCCCCAACCCCCAACCCAAGGAGGTGGTCTTAGGACCCGGACATTTGTCTGTCTGCTGCACCTCCCTTCTTACTTCAGCCAAACTGTTGCTAAATTCTCCTGCTTGCTATAGCAGACCGGTATAAAATTTGCTTTCTTTCTAAGCACCTTCTTGCTATTTTTCAGTTCTTAACTAATATTTAAGAACTTTTTGCTCTGGCCTCTTTTTCCAAGTTGAAAATGCCATGATGATCATCTGTTTTTAAGTCTTCCTTTGTTTCCTTATGGTGACTCTCTCTCTCTCTCTCTCTCCCCCCCCCCT